TATTATTTCCACATCTTTTGTTTCGAGATCAATTCGTCGCTCAGCTTGAACTGAGTTTTTAACATATACACATAATCCACCGCCTGACTTTCCAGTTTTGTCCTTTCGATAGACTTTGTAGCCGGGAATGCTGTAAAATGTTTCTGGTATTTTTTCGGTACAGAAGGTCTCCGATAAAATGAGAATGTCCAGACCAAAAAGCTCCTTGCTGGGGCATGTCAATAAGTTGCGAATCTCTTCAAATTTACTGTCCGTGAGATGTTGTATATTCCAATGGCATAATTTGATTCCTTTTCGATCGACTACAGGACCAGGCTGGGATTCAACATCGTTTGACATTTGAATAAGAAGCAACGAGATTGAGGCTTTAGTTAGTAGACGACAGGCAACAATCACACGAGTTGAGTTTGGCGTTAAACTTGCCGAGCCAGAACAAGATCTAGGTTGCCGTGGTAAACGAACAAAACTTGCAATATTTGGTTTAGCGGCTATATTTGAGGAGTAGAATACGTTTCCATTATACACATCGAGTGAATTGCATTTTTTACATCGTGTAAGGTTTTTAAAACAAAGATATAAATACAGCAACATGCAGATCAAATGCAGAGCTCTCTGAGCGACGGCCATCTTGTTAATCTAAAGATCTAAAATGGAACCAACACATAACTAACATAGTTAAGAAGGCGAACAAACGGATTTATTTTATTATTCAGTTGAAACGTGCTCATGTACCTGAAGCTGACATAATAAATTTTTACACTACCTGCGTCAGACCAGTCATGGAATTCAGCTGTCAAGTTTTCCACTTCGCCCTTCCTTCCTACTTATCTAATGCTCTGGAACGGGTTCAAAAGCGTGTTTTATCAATCATCTATCCACTGACAGGTTATGCGGATTGTTTACAAAAATCGGGCATCAAACCATTAAGTGACAGGCGTGTGGTTGCATGCGAGAAACTGTTTAATGAAATCACCACAACACCAGTAGCTAATATGCATAATCATGTACCATCTAGATACTTTCCAAATTACGACCTTAGACACTCAAGGTCTTTTGTTGTTCCTCAGACCAAAACGAACAGATTTAGAAACAGCTTTTTCCCTTCATCTGCAAGGCATATCAATAATATTAACTGACAATCGATTCTGATATTCAGTTTTAGACTGGCTAACATTTTTTTAGAAATTTACTAGTTTCATAGCTAATTTGTAATGTAACTTTAAACTTCTGTAATATAGAATTATAAATTGTAATGTAATTTTAAACTTCTGTAAATATAGAATAACTAATTTAATCATTTCTCTTGTAAAATTTAGCACGCAATTCAGCCTCTTGGCTGCTATGTGTTAATCTTATTAAACAAACAATCTATCTATCTATCTATCTATCATCCGTATGGATAAGTCGACAACGAAGGTCAGAATGGTATTTGATTGTTCTGCGAAACACGAAGGGATATCCCTCATCGACGTCATTTACGCTGGTCCAAAGCTTCAGAAGAATCTGTTTGACGTGTTAGTTCGTTTTCGTCGGAATCCCATTGCCTTGGCGTGTGACATAAAAGAGATGTTCCTTCAAATAGAACTTAAAGAAAAGGATCGTTCGTATTTCCGAATTCTTTGACGCAATCTAGGCGTCAACCAAGATCCACAAGAATACGAGTTCAACCGCGTCGTGGTCGGAAAAACTCGGCGCTGATGGAGACTCAGTTCGTCTCACAAGAAAATGCACGTCGCTATGAGAGCCTCTATTGAGCCGCTGCAGAAACGGTGTCAAAGTCAACATATGTGGATGATTCACTTGATAGCGTTGAGAATAAAGAGCGCGGAATCGATCTATGCGAACAGTTAAAGGAGATTTGGGGACTTGCTGGTATGAAAGCTAGAAAATGGATTTCGAATTCGCCAGACGTCATGGCTGCTATTCCTGTTGAAGATCGTGCTACCAAGTTTTCCATCAACGACTGTCAAGATCTTGTTACAAAGACGCTAGGTCTATCGTGGAACAGTTCAGATGATGTTCTCACGATCACAGTTCCTACATCGGCAACATCTTCTGATTTAAAGATCACAAAACGCCATGTATTAAAGATAAAAGCTACAGTCTTTGACCCACTAGGTTTCGTTAGTTCTGTTTTATTCAAGCGAAAATCCTCCTACAAGAACTGTGGACCAGAGGATACGAATGGGATGAACCAGTAACCGATGAGCTTGCTAACCTAATAGGGAACTGGTTCAATCAATTATCGAGTTTAACCAACGTGATAGTCCCCAGGAGTCTACGCGGACCTAAGCCTGTTGCGTCAACAGAAGTCGTGACATTCGTCGACGCGTCGAAGGAAGCGTATGTGCTGTAGCATATCTCCGTCACAGTTACGAGGATGGAACTGTAACAAGCAAAATGATTGCATCGAAAAGTAAAGTCGTGCCTGTAACTCCCATAACCATGCCAAGATTGGAACATATGGCTGCCGTGCTAGGGTTACGTTTAACCCAATCGATCGTCGAAGTGTTGGAGTTGTCGTTGAAGGAAGCGTTCTTCTATTCCGATAGCATGGATGTGTTATGGTGGGCTCGAGGCAAAGGAAGAGATTTCCGAGCGTTTGTGGCCAATCGGATCGGCGAGTTGCAGATGTGTACAGATCCAGCGCAGTGGCAACATGTTTCAACCGATGAGAACTCCGCTGACTTGTGTTCAAGAGGAGCCACCCCAAACGAGTTGAACAAAAGCATACTTTGGTGGAATGGTCCCGAATGGTTGATGAAAGATCGGAATGAATGGCCAAAGATGAAGACCGAAACACGACCTCAAGAAATACCAGAAGTAAAGTTACCAAGCAAAAGCTAGAGGAAACCTAGCCTTGAAACCAGATCGCATGTTAGTCGATAACGAAAGGTATCGCCCGAGAACAAGGCAAAAGAATGGAGACTGGACCCCACCCGTTTTTTGAATTGGACGAGGTTGGTACACGTGCACGCAAGAGTAAGCAGAGCAGTTCACAACATGCAACACAGAGCGATCGAAAAAGTGACCAGTATTGAACTGCAACCGCACGAGATAGCAGAAGCTCGAGAGGTGATCATAAGAAATGCATCGAAAGAAGCATTTAAGGTTGATTACAAAGGGTTAGTGGGAAAACGACCATTAGCTGTAAACAGTCCGTTAGTTAAGTTGAATCCACGATTGGATGAAAGTGGCGTTATAATTATCCGATCAACTAGTCGTTTGGAGTTTGCGGAATATTTGCCCTACGACACTAAGTTCCCGATCATACTACCTCTGAACATTGGACGTTGAACAAGGACAAAGTTAGACACACTGGGTTTTATTCCCAATGTGGGAAGGGGGAATGTGGAGAAGTGACTGTATATGTATATATTGACATTTAATTTGTTATTAATTAGCGAACAGACTGTAGCCACAATATTGATAGAACTCGTTAAGTTTCCAATAAAATGTATTTAAAATAATGGTTTACAAAAAATAGTAAGAAATATATAATATTAGATGTTCTTTTCGAAATAATCGCCCGATCAAAATCCTCGATAAAACAACAAAGTAAATTCCCCAGAAGGACGAGGACAGTTCCGCGCGTGACGACTGCCACGCAAATCTCTCGCACTATTCTAGCGCCTTCTGAACATTTCCCCTCCCCGCGCTTAGGCGACGAGGTGCGAGTAGGTTACCTCCCCCCCCCCCATATGGGTACGGAAGTAATTAGTATTCAAGCGAATGTATGTATGACGTCATATCAATGACATCACCGGAAATACCCGCATAAATTATGAAGTATGAACGTTCAGCTATTCCCGCATAAATTATTATAAGTATGAACGTTCAGCTATTCTAGCATAAATTATTGGGCATGCATGTTCAGCTATGGTTGCTTTTTTTCCCAACAATATATGCGTTCTTCAAGGTCAAATAATGTTGACGAAGTTTCGCCTATGGAATTTCGGAAGCTATGCAATTTGTTAGAGACAATATTTGCACAAACTGTTTCTTGCGAGGTTTACGAGCTTTTCGAAGAGAGGTGCTGTGGTTGTAAACTAAATCGTTTTAGCCAGAATGAGTGTCTTATGTTATCGTATGAGGAGAGATTGCAGATGTATGATTTGGAAGCCATACAGCGAGTTAAAAAAAAGACACGGTATGGAATAAGTTTGTTGAGGTGACCAGAGTTTTAGAGCTTCAGTGGGATGAATACGTGTTTGAATATTGGAATCAATTGAGGAGGTACCCCATGTATGTTAAATCAATGATGAGTGTGGAGAACAGTGAGATGCTGAGTATTTTAGACCAACTTTTTAACTGGAAAGAGGATTGTTGTGATGACCCGCTTGAACCTGGGGCTACGGTCTTTTTTTCAATGCCCCCTAGTTTTAAGTATACTGTGAAAGCGACAGGCGAGCAATTTAGAAGTCATGAAGAGGATCATTATAAGGCATATGTGGAATATTTGAGAAGTAAACTTTGAGATTCAGTGTAAATATGTTAATAAACGAGTTTCGTTTTTATTCTTTTTATAAATT